TAGCAAATAAAAGACAGACTAGGGAAAACGTGGGCCCTCTCCGAAAGCTATCCGGAGAACTGACTACCCTGGATTTGAAGAAGGCTGAGGTTCTTAATGACTTCGTTGCCTCAGTCTTCACTGGCAAATGCTCTCACCACACCACCCAAGTTTTGGAAGGCAGACGTAGGGACTGTGAAGATGAAGACTTTAGGCCCACTGTAGGAGAGGATCTGGTTCTAGACCATCTTAAGAACCTGAACGTGCACAAGTCCATGGGAGCTGATGAAATCCATCCATGGGTCCTGAAGGAGCTGGTGAATGAAGTTGCTAAGCCACTGTCCATTATATTTGAGAAATCATGGCAGTCAGGTGAAGTTCCCTGGAAAAGGGGAAATATAACCCCCATTTTCAAGAAGGGAAAAATGGATGACCCAGGGAACTACAGACCAGTCAGTCTCACCTCTGTGCCTGGCAAAATCTTGGGGCAGATTCTCCTGGATGGCATGCTAAGGCACATGAAAATCAACAAGGTGCTTGGTGACAGCCAGCATGGCTTCACTAAGGGGAAATCCTGCCTGACCAGTTTGGTGGCCTTCTGTGATGGGGCTACAGGGGCAGGGCAGTTGACATCACCTACCTGGACTTGTGCAAAGGGTTAGAGACACTGCCCTGCAAGGCATCCTTGTCTGTAAATTGGAGAGACATCGATTTGATGGATGGACCACTGGGTGGATACAGAACTGGCTGGATGGCTGCACACAAAGAGTTGTGGTCAATGGCTCAATGTCCAGCTGGTGACCAGTAATGAGTGGTGTCCCTCAGGGATCGGTGTTGGGACCGGTCTTGCTCAACATCTTTGTCGGTGACATGGACAGTGGGATTGAGTGCGCCCTCAGCAAGTTTGCTGATGACGCCAAGCTGTGTGGTTTGGTTGATCTGTTGGAGGGAAGGAATGCCATCCAGAGGGACCTTGACACACTTGTGAGGTGGGCTGATGCCAACCTTATGAAGTTTAACCATGACAAGTGCAAGGTCCTACACCTGGGTCGGAGCAATCCCAGGCACAGCTACAAATTGGGCAGAGAAAAGTTTCAGAGCAGCCCTGCAGAGAAGGACTTGGGGGTGTTGGTTGATGAGAAACTGAACATGAGCCGGCTGCAGTGTGCGCTTGCAGCCCAGAAAGCCAACCGTATCCTGGGCTGCATCAAAAGGAGCGTGACCAGAAGGTCGACGGAGGTGATCCTGCCCCTGTACTCTGCTCTCCTGAGACCTCACCTGCAGTATTGTGTGCAGTTCTGGTGTCCTGAACATAAAAAGGACGCGGAACTATTGGAACAAGTCCAGAGGAGGGCCACGAGGATGATCAGGGGACTGGAGCACCTCCCATATGAAGACAGGCTGAGAAGGTTGGGGCTGTTCTCCTGGAGAAGAGAAGGCTGTGTGGAGACCTCATAGCAGCCTTCCAGTATCTGAAGGGGGCCTATAGGGATGCTGGGGAGGGACTCTTCATTAGGGACTGTAGTGACAGGACAAGGGGTAACGGGTTAAAACTTAAACAGGGGAAGCTTAGATTGGATATAAGGAGGAAGTTCTTTCCTGTGAGGGTGGTGAGGCACTGGAATGGGTTGCCCAGGGAAGTTGTGAATGCTCCATCGCTGGTGGTGTTCAAGGCCAGGTTGGACAGAGCCTTGGGTGATATGGTTTAGTGTGAGGTGTCCCTGCCCATGGCATAGGGATTGGAACAGGATGATCTTAAGGTCCTTTCCAACCCTAACTCTTCTGTGTTTCTGTGATTCTGAACACAGAAACGAGGGTGATGCAAATGGGGTGTATGTGTCACTACAGAAACCATAATAAAACTACATAAATAATTTTCTAAGCCTCTTAAAGAGGGAAGCAACTGATTTAACATGAAGGAGTAATTAGATAAAGATGTAGACTCAATAATATAGGTCAAAAATTAGGCAAACAGTCGTGGGGGGAGGAGACAGGTTAAAAATAAAGCCAGCAACTGAGCTGCCTTGAAATTTTAGCATTTTATTAATATTTCTGAAGTTGATTTTTTTTTTTTAACTGATCAGTAAAGTTAGAATTGAATGTAAATTGCTTTAAACAATGCCTGGAGTCATTAGCATTACTCATAAACAAGTTTGTGTTTTTTTTAATATGTGTTTGGCAGAACATGTGTTTGCACTCGAAGATCAGTTTCTGGACATCTGATGGTTGTTTTACCTTTCCTGTAGCTTGGAAAACTATGATAATTTGCTGTAGCCTTCTGCTGAATCAGCATCCCTAAGGGGAAAGGACAGTGTAGTGAATCTTTTGAAGTATTTTCAAGTCCAAAACGTTGCTTTGAATTCTTAATTCTCCTAAGTATGTTTACTGTGGATACTGTGTTGCCTTTTGAAAGTTGCAAATTAAGTAGGATAAAATCCATGTAGTTGGTTGCCAAACTTTTGAGTGCGGAAGGTCCCCTGTGTTATATTGCCTATATGTATGAGGTTGGGAATTAATTCAGTGCAGTGGTCTTCCTGATTCCTTTTGAAAATGGTATCCCTTCAAGGTGAAGCAACAGGTAAACAAAACTCCGGTGGGTGCTCTCACCTGGATAAGGAGTTAATAGGTTTATGCTCTTCTCAAGGTAATACTGAAAACAGTCAAAGGGTTCAGAGCTGCAGACAAGGAAGCTAAAAACCAGGTACACAGAATTATGCTGTCAAATGGGAAAAGCCCAAGAGGTTCAGATAGCTTCATACGGTAGCTGCCTAACATACTAATATTCCTGTTAGATAAAAAGGAAGTGCAATTTTGTATTTTTTCCCAAAGGACCATTGTTGGGTTTTTAGTAAATATACTAGTTTCCTAGCTCCTATTTGCCTTGTTCTGCAGTCCACCAACAGAGTCTTCAATTCTAGCTCTTTCTTTCAAGCCTGCATTGCGTACCTCTTACAGGCTTTCTGTCCCTTGAGCTGATTGTGTAACCCAGTTTTGGAATTCTATACTTACTTCCATAGCCAATTACGTACAGCAAGACTTTTTTTTTTTTTCTTGGAGTTTCTAATAGTAGTGTAATTAGTCTATGTGTCTAGAGCTCTCATTTTATGAAAAAATATTCATTAAAAGTTTATCTCCATAAAGGTTTGGAAAATCAAAACAAAGGAGTTGAAACTCAATTCTGAACCACAGGACAATCCAGCAAAGAGGCATGATTATCCCTCTACTACCACCACCGTCTCTATTCACTATTCTTATACATCATCAAAAAAAAAAAAAATACCTGGCTGTAATGAAACAAGGATAGAATTAATGGGGAATATGTTTGTGAAATGTCATAGCTATAAGTGGGGATATGAATAAATGTGGACAATAATGCAAAATACTTCAGGAACACAAAGAAACGGAATCTTATTTAGATCTATGTGTCTCTTTCCATCTCTGTCTTCTTTTTCTTCCATCCGAAAGTTCTTGTTCTCTAGCTTCTGCTAATTTTGCTTTTAGTAGCAACCACTAGAGATGTAAAGATTACATTTCACCTGCAAGTGACCAGTGAGGGCCCTAATTATTCCATATTTTCTCAAAGTACTTGTCCTGAGGAATGTTTACAGCCGTTTTCATTTGTGCTTGGTCTTGAAGGTCTCATTGCAACAACTTCTTTAGAGAAAGTGTTTTGAACTTTATTTTTCCTCAGATATTGGCTTTGAATTTCATTATTTGTGTTTTCCCATTGTGGCAATGAAATTTTACACAAATACTTTTTGTTCCTGAAAATTACATCACAAATATGTTGCGTTTGGGTCTTGCTCAATTCTGCCTAATGAAAAATTAAAATGCCAAACAAATAATTTATATGCAGAAATAGTGAGCTATGGTTTGGATACTTCGAAGTAGAATTAAAATTTACAGCACATAGTTTGAAATCTGGTATTTGGATGTAAGAAAGGAAATTTGTCTTATGAAGCTAGGATGCTGGATTCTTCCTCAGGGGCTTTAGCAATAAGACAAGGGGTGATGGGTTCAAGCTAAAACAAGGGAAGTTCAGGTTACATGTAAGGAAGAAGTTCTTTACTGGGAGGGTGGTGAGGCGCTGGAATGGGTTGCCCAAGGAAGTTGTGAATACTCCTTCCCTGACATAGTTCAAGGCTGGGTTGGACAGAGGTTTGGGTGACATCGTCTAGGGTGAGGCATCCCTGCCCATTGCAGTGGGGTTGGAACTGGATGATCTTAAGGTCCTTTCCAACCCAAACCATTCTATGATTCTATGATTTTTCCTGTCTTCTGTAAACTACTTTGTATAAGTGAACGTGTTTTAAACCAAACATAACGTTTTTTTTTCTGGTTGCCAGCATTTTTATGAGCTCAGATTTTCAGTCTTGTCTTACTTTTGACTTCAAACCCAGGTATTTAAATACCGCATCTATAAATGTCAGTAAAAATGACCAGCTTTGTGGTATAATGCAGTATTATTCTCAATCCTATGATGCTGTCAGTTTTCATTTAAACTCAACTTTTTCAAAACTTATTTCTAAATGAACTTAATCAGATTAACTTCATTTAGTCACATCTGCTCATGATTTTTTCCCCTTTTACTAGCCATACAAATCATGAAATTAAGCTAATTATATACCATTATCGGCTGCAAAGAACTAGTTTCACAGTTTTATACCTTTTAATTCCCTGCAGGAGATTAAGGCTTGTTTTTTGTTAATATGTAAAGTGCAGTAACTTAAATGGATTTCCCTGCAGTTATTGCCAAAGGATTAACTAGTTTATTATTGTTTTTCTCTATTGTAAATTGTTTAAAACATTACATTTGATGTGGTTTCATTGATGGCAATGCTTGTCATGCTATTGAGAAACATTTTCTAAATAGAAACTGCTATATACAATTGTTATACAGCTATAAAGCAAAAGAAATAATTGTGCTGTCAGAGTGTTTATTGATGGTGACATCTGATTTTTGTCTTCTCTGCTCCTCCGTCTCTTTTGCGGGGCTGGGGGGACACACTGCCCTCACACAGGTGACGATGAGCAGAGTGATTGGTTTCATGAAAATGAACCTGGTGGAGCATGTGGAATTACTGGAGTCATTCCATGGTGGGAACAAGAAGACGCTACAGAACTTGAAAGAGAATTGCCTGATCCAGTCTTCGAAAGTATTTTAACTGGGACTTTTCCTCTCATGTCCCATTCAGGGAGGAGAGGTAAGACACAATCAAGTAAATGCAAACTGTAGAGTCATTTGAGTACAGTAGAAGGATATCTATACATATAAAACATGAAAAATGGTGACAAGATCTTGGAGTTACCAGTTTGTTCCCCTGAACAATTTCATTTGTAAGTATCATTAGACAGAAATAGTTTTTAAAACTCAGTTGTTAGGTCAAATTTTAAAACTTGGCTCATTTTTATAGCCTGCTCTTATTTGTATTGATGTTTCCATTGAGAACAGCTTTATTTGAAGTGAATCTTAGTATCCTGTTTTGTTCCTGGCTCCTGTGATAGTGTTTAGAGTTCTATAGAGGTTTGTTAATTCAAAAGTTGGAGAGTAGTGTGACCATCTGCTTTGCTTTATGGTCAGGCAGTGTTGTTTGTAGAGAAGGTGGAAGGGTTCCTTTAGAGCAAGGATTGAGATTGTAATTTAGAAAATACCTTTTTTTTTTCTTTAAAATATTTTAGACAGCTGTGGATCCAGTGTATCCAATGGTAAGTTGCACCAGAGTTAGATTGCGTTTACAGCTGGGAACCCACTCTTATCTAAAGACTGAAGTTGCAGACCTCAGCTTGCTGCCAGAGAGTTTTGTAGTACCTTCCCTCTGCCACAAGGATCTCTTTCACATTCAAATACAGATCTTTTATGTGAGCAGTGGTCAAATCACTTTTAAACTGCTCTGCACAATGTAATGAATTATTGTGTGAAGCTTATTTATGAAATGCTTGAAATTGTTTCTGAGGACTTGGTCTTTGTGAATTCACCAGATTTAACGTGATTTAGTTCTAATAAAGTTGTAAGTGATGCAAAAAACCTTTCCTACTGATCAGAGTGCTCTGCTCATGCAGCCAACTGCGCATAGAACCAGGATAGCAGTAAGAATATCTACAGAAATACTAATTTTTATAACAACTTAGCCTTTCTCTCACTTTCCCCATTGTGCTTTGTTGCCACCAGGACAGTTGACTATATTAAGATGTTTTTATTGAACTGGTCAGATTAATAGATTGGTGTGTAATGGTGAATGTTATTGGTTTCGTGGTATAGAAAATGTTCTTAAATCAGTTTGTACTTCTTTTTTTTTAGGTTTCCAGAGTAGATTTAGTCATCTTCATGGAATGCCAGCAAGAAACATAAAAAAGGCTTCAGGAAACCAGAATGCATTGGTAGGTGCTTTTATTATTGTTGACTAATGTGCACAGTTCTTAGAGGTATTTGGGTTTGCTTTTTGTTTTAAAAAAACATATTTCTCCCATCCTTGTTTCCTAGTGTTGTACATAGGTAATGGAATGGTGCCACTGCTGCTGATTATTGCCTCTTTTGTAATGGAATATTTGTGTGTGCTTGAATGGCAGAAAGAGTTGGATATTGTCTCTCAGTACTTATTTTGAACTGAGTGAAGGGAAAGCTTTGGGGGAGCATTATTAGAAATTTTCAGTGTGGATCTTATGTCTATATGAAAACATGTTTAAAATGAAAATCAAACCAAAGTTAAATGTTAAGTTTTTCTCACACTGAAAGCATTTTAGGATGGATTTATTTTGATTTCTTTTTCTCCCAAAAGTCTGCTTTGAAAAATCTGTCTTTACTCTCTTGTCTGGGTGACTTCTGTGTGGTCAGGTAAAGGGTCTATACAATCTAATAATATGATTTTCCCATAGCTGTTTTCTAAAATAAGATTATAATGAATTTATGAGAATTTGTTCTTCAGAAGAGACTTCTCAAGTTAAAGCATTTAAATTTATTCATTTAATTATATAAATGTTAATATTTTTGTTATATATAATATATATTAAATATATAAAACTATCTATATTAAAATATATTTTAATAAATATTAATTTATTCATGCAGTCTATTCCTTTCTTATTGGGATAGTGTTTAGAACAGAAGGAAGCAGGATGTGGGAAACTCTATGTCAATGTATAACAAACCTGCTTCAACCTGATAAATACTGCAACATCAATGTTCTTTGTATTTGAGAAAATTAAATGGTTTCCAATTTTAATTTACCTTAAAGTAAGATGCTTCTGAGAAATATAAGAGAAATATGCAGAGAGAATAAAAATTAACTGTGAGAAATGTAACTTGTTTTGAAGAGGGAAGGGTTTTATAATTGACGTCCCTGTCCAATAATTGCCATTTGGAGCTGAATAAGATGCTTTAAAACCTTGGCCTGTGATCTTTGCTGTTAGTGGTCATGAATTAGATGAATGCTATCTAGTTCTTGGTTTCCTATCTACCTATTTTTATTTTTGGTTCAGTGCTTGCTTGAGCATGTCTGGGATTTGTAGCCCATTTTCTAGGCTTATTGCAATTTCACTCTGGTATTTTATAGGAGCTATTATAACTGATGGGTTAGCTTCATGGTGTTGATGATACATAGCTTAACTACCCTAAAAACTGCCTTTCTAAATTGTAAAAGGGTGATTAAATTTCAATTGATGAAGATATACAGTGAATGCATTTATATAATAAAAAAATCCCAATGTTTATTTTCTGCTACTCTTTCTGAATTGTCCTTAGGAGCCTATTTTTTCTTCTAGCCATGATATCTCATACTAAGATGAGTAAAGATGGCATTGTAGTTCCCTTTATAACAAAAGTGCAAGCCAATCTACTAAAGACTGCTAATTCAGTTACCTCGAGTTACTAAATATATCATTTACATAGTGTAGTTAAACAAGATTGTCTTGCAAACATAGCTTCTAAGCCACTATTTTTAGGCAGGAGTGTATATATAGAATGGATGTGCAGCTGGCTCTTCACATGCAGTTTTCTGACCTTCTTAATGTCTATTTATGTTTGTGGGCACATTTGCTGCATCCATCATTGCAAACATATCTATATAAGCTAGAGTTCATGTGCTTCCTTTTGTTAGTGGTTGCTTCTTAATGAAAATCTTCTTTTAGGTCCTTTAATCCAATGACAAAAAAAAAGTCGTTTTATACCTGTGACATCTGATAACAAAGAACAAGAAGTAATTACTGCTATTAGATTGTAACAGTGAAGAAAAGCAAGGATGCTTTTAGAAAGATTAATATCCTGAGGAAAGAACACTGCAGACTCAACTGATTGAACAGAGTTGTGCTGCGACTTAATTCTTTTTTAGCAGTGAGGAGTCTGATGTCTGTATCACTGCTTTTACACAGACTCGAAAGACAAAGTAAAAAATGGAGTTTCCTACTGAGATACCCTACCTAAAAGACACACATTATATCCTGCATTTGGCCTAAGGATGTGTAGTTTGTATCTAGGAAATGTGAGCATATAGTTACCTCTTTGCATACAGGCAATGTGTGTTTAAATTTCTTTGGGGAATTTAATTGAAGGTTCACAGCTACAGCAGCTAGTGGAACCTTGAAGCAATTACTGGTTTAGGGAAGGCAAAATGAATAGCTAGGGTAGATAATACCTTGATACATTGTCATCTTCTGTCAAAAAATGTTTAATGCCAAACTGTTTGGTTGATTTCTTGTGAGAAACATCAAGCCAAGAGTGTGATTATTACTTGCTATATATTAAGGGAACTGCCAGCTTACATTGTTTTCACACCAGAAGCAGCGAGAGCTCAGAATAGGAAGAAGGATGCTGCTCTTTATAGTCCAATTAGTGAACTTATTTGTAGTATCCACAGCTGGCATTCAGATTCTGTCCAGATGCTTTTCCTGAATTTCACTGATGAGTTGCTTAATTTTAACAAACTTATGGGTCTTTCTGTCATCAGGCATGCTACCTTTGAGTCAAAACGTTCTTTTAATGATCATACACTGGACAAGCAAGAGAGAAGTAAAAACCTGGCATGCAAATGCTATGAAAATCTAATGTGCAGAGTGTTGTCATATAGCAGATGACAACTGAAAATGAAATGTAAAAAAAATTATTGCAATTGGTTTATCCCTTTAATCCCTTTGGATTATCCAGTTTACTAAAGATAGGCACGTTTCTTATGGAATCTGCCATTAAGTGGTTTGTCAGGTGTGTATTTTGGCATACAATTACAATGCCGGCTTTTCATGTCTTGATTTCTTTGTATTGTGGCAGCATCATTTGGAGCAGAACTTTATTTGAAAAGAAATAGAAAACATATTTTCTAATGTACTATGCTTTTGATCCCACCTGTGTCAAGTTGCTAGTAGCAATCAGAAGCATGATCCATGTACTTTCATACCATACCAGTAAGTACCAATGTACTCTTTTAATAAGGTATATTGCATGAAATCTTACTGTGCCTGGTTGAATTCTGCGTTTACATAAGACCGGATCAGCTGTTCCTAACCCTTGAATCCTTTTGTTAGGTAAAAATTCTACATTTTAAAGGTAGTATCCTATGAATGAAATGCAGATTTCTTAAAGGAATGCTTTTTTTTTTCATCTTTTTTCTGTATGTGTTTATAGACTTGCATGTCATGTAGTACTATATCTGTCCTTTCCAACAAATTACGTGTGAAACTTCAGTATTTAGAAGAATCAAATCTGAAATCTAACATTTTAGATGCACTGGAAATGTGAAAGTTCATTTCTGTGATGTAGAACACTAGATATACTCTACCTTCAATGATGAAGGCTGCCATACTTTTTTTCAGATGGATTCCTGGGAACATCACAACAGTCCTAATGAAAGAAAATAAGAGTTTATAATTCTAGCTAGTGAAAATAGAACGTGACTACTTTTCATTTCTTTCAAAATTTTTTGGCCAACTTAGTACTTGATTGAAAAGTTCTACTTTTTTTCATCACAACTCCATACAAATAAGTGAAAGGGCTAAAAATGAGCCCTGCTGTCTTAGCTGTTCCGTGTGTGGTTCTGCTTAGAGTTCCTTCTCTGAAACAAGAGACGCGGTAGGATTTTGTTTGAGGACTCTTGCTTGTCATCTTCCTGCATGTATTCCTTGTCTAGGCTGGAAGCTGGGAAGTGATTTCGCTGAGGTGAAGTGCAAAAAACATGAGCAATAAAAAGGATGCTTTCTTTTGATTCTGCCAATTTTTCATCCATAACCTTTATGTCATGGGTTTTGATTTCATGGTATTAAAGACAGCCTATTTTAAGTCTTGCACTCCTAGGATTCATTTGTTTCTTTTTGCACAGCTGTACTACTGAGCTAGACTATACATAGTTATAATTACTCAAAAAGTAAATAATGAAAGCTACATTTGTGAGACCTGTTATCTGAAGGTATCTGTGTATGTCTGTTAAATTCTGTGACTCTTTCTCCAACGTTCAAAGATAAAACAGCTTTTCTCAAAAATAAAATGTGTTGTTGGGTAACTGCTATATCGATGTGAGGAGAAAAGATGTATTGAGCACTTCTGCTTTTTGTTTACTGCTTTCAAAATGTAAAATCAAACCTTTCTGCATCTAAATTATTTCTAACTGAAGAAAGGGGTGTGTTCAGGATTTCTTTTTTTCTTGTCAAAATATTTTGGAAACGGAGTGAAAAGGTATTAGATGATAACCCTTGTTACAGGCAGTGTTCCTTAAAGTAAGTGTAAGGCAGTATTGGTCAGAAGCCTTCTTATGGATGTTCTGCAGCTTTTGGAAGAGCACCATTTCTCAAGTTAAAGTTGATTTAGTGTTTTGGAGAATTCTTTTTACACCAGATGTGTGCCATGTAGTTAGATAAAACACAGTTCAGTTTGTGAGGTGTATGAAATCTCTGGGGTTTTAATTAGTTTCTGCACTTAACTATTCTCGTTTGAAGCATAGTCTTTACCTCAAAATCTGTGGAAATGTGAGTGGTATTAGATGATGTCTGATAAGAAAACTAAACTCTTGTTGGATTCCAGACTTTCATTTATTCAAGGTCAGTAATATTAGGCCTGTGTCTGAGGAGGGTGTTTTGAAACCTTACGCTGCTAATGCCACAAATTAATTTCTGTTTAAACTGGTAGGAGAGTAGGGGCTTGTGGTTTTTGTGATGGCGGGTTATTAAGATTTCCTGTCATCACAAATATTTTCACCTACTGAAAGCATTTCTTGCTGTGTTTTTCCTTTTATTTTTTAAAACTTTTCCTTATTTGTAAGTCTTAAATTTATATCTGCTTATGCGAAATATAGTGATAAAGTCATGCTTTTTTAATCCTCACATTACTTAACTCAGTACCTTATTTTTATAACATAGAGGGAAAATCTTCCTTGTTTCCTGCAGTCACATGCTTCCTGTAG